TTGTTCTGAAATCAGCAACATGTTGCCTTGGCTTGTTCTGAAATCAGCAACATGTTGCCTTGGCTTGTTCTGAAATCAGCAACATGTTGCCTCATTATGTCCTAAAATCAGCAACATGTTGCCTGGTCTTGTTCTAAAATCAGTAACACCTTGCATCAATTTTTAAAATTAGAAACACAATGCCTTAGCTGTTCTGAAATTCGCAACACATTGCCTCATCATGTTGTAAAATCAGTAACATTTTGCCTGGTCTTGTTCTGAAATTAGCAACACGTTTCTTTGTGTTGTTCTGAAATCAGAAGCACATTGCCTGTCCTGTTCTATAATCAACAACACATTGCCTTATATTTTAAAATCAGCAACATGTTGCCTGGCCTTGTTCTAAAATCAGTAACACCTTGCATCAATTTTTAAAATTAGAAACACAATGCCTTAGCTGTTCTGAAATTCGCAACACATTGCCTCATCATGTTGTAAAATCAGTAACATTTTGCCTGGTCTTGTTCTGAAATTAGCAACACGTTTCTTTGTGTTGTTCTGAAATCAGAAGCACATTGCCTGTCCTGTTCTATAATCAACAACACATTGCCTTATATTTTAAAATCAGCAACATGTTGCCTGATATCAGCAACACATTGCTTTACCATGTTATAAAATCAGCAACATTGCTCAGTTGAAAGGTGAAAGTTGCCAGTACCTGACACTTGCAGGAACTGTCCCGGGTTCTGTCCATATTTTTCCACTGAGTGTTCGAAGGCGCTCCTCAACGTGGCGCCGTCCAGCTGCACCAGATCAAAGGTTCCTCCGAATGGTAGAACAGCGATCAGGTCCTCCATGGTGATGGAGCCTGAAAACAACACGTCAGCATCCAGTCAGCAAAACCCAGCCTGGTCCACATCCTGTGGGTTCTGATCCCAGGTACCGTTCAGGGTACGTTCATCAATGGATGAGCGGATGCCGCCTCCGTTCATGATGCAGGCACTGACGTGGTTCCACTGTTCTCCACCTGAGAACCTCATGAAGTTATCCAGCTGCAGAGAAAATGCTGAGTCAGGATTCCTGAAACGCTTCATCAGCAGAATCAGCTTCACACAGGTTCTCTGTTTCTGTTCTGTGTTCCCCTGGGTTTGGGTTAGGTTTTACACAACTTCTCCAGTATTTAATAAAAATAATAAAAATATAGATAAAACAGAATTGAAAATCTAAAACTAAAGCCTGAGCTTGATAAATCTCACCATGGCGTCACAGATCAGATTTCCCAGGTTGCACTCCTGCGAGCGGCACGCCGCGTGCGACCCGTTCAGGAAGACCAGAGTTGTTCCCACCACCTGAGCGGAGAACTCCGTCAGGTTCTTCTTCCACTCGTTCACCTCAGCCAGAACACTTGGATCTGCCCGGATCAAACAGAACCAGACAGTTTGGATCAGAGGAATGACAGCAGAAACAAACAGAAGACAAAGAATTTAAATGTCCTGATGCATCTCAGTAATCCAGGTAGAAAAATAAAAAATAAATAAAAAAATTAAAATAAATAAATAGGTCCTCTGGATGGGTTCCTCTTTAATGAAACGTTTCGTCTCTCCTCTGAGAAACTTCTTCAGTCTGAGGAGTTTCAGGTGAACTCAGCCTTATAAGCTCCGCCTCCACATGGTGGACAAACAGGTTGGTCACATGTAAAAGAAGACCATCAGCCAAACAATAGGTCATTAGTCCCTTCATTGGCTCTATTGCTCATAGAGGGTCAGACGCCCCATCACCTGACTATCGTTGGCGTGACCTCTTTTGCATGTGACCAACCTGTTTGTCCACCATGTGGAGGCGGAGCTTATAAGGCTGAGTTCACCTGAAGTCTCTTGGAGGAGAGACGAACCCGTCCAGAGGACTTACTTTTTTTTTTCTTTTTGAAAGGATTTAAATATTTTCTTAGAAAAACCTAATTTCTACAGCTGAACTGTTGAAGTTCTGCTCTTCTGGTTCTGAACAGAACCCTGCTGGAAACAGAACTGTGACTCTAAAACGTTTTCCCTCCATCTGGACCCGTTTAGCTGTTATAACTCTCTGGATTAGGCAGGATTTCGGAGGAGGCAGGAGTCCAGGTAGTCTTACCCTCAGGGATGCGGCTGTCCAGCAGGATGGGGTTCCCTGAAGACTCCATCACGTTCCCCTCATCATCAAAGGTCACCTTCAGGTGACCCAGGTACTTCCCGAAGGCGTAGGCCTGAACCACCGGAACCTTCCTCCCGTCCTCAGAAGCCACCATGAACGGGTACGGACCGGCCGGATACTCCTGAGACGGAGGAGAAGGTCCTGGAGAGGAAACATTCACAAATATCTGAACTTAGAAAAGTTTCTGTTTCCAGTAAAACTCTTGATAAAACTGATGGAACCAAACTGGGGTGATGTGATATTTTACTGACAGAATCCAAATATCTTTTAACAAAAAACAGATTTTCATCTGAAAGCTGCTTCCTAATAAATTAAAAATAAAACAGCAGAGTCCATAAAGGTTTAACTGATAATAAAAAGGTGATTAAAACTTCAGAACTCTTCCTGGATCAGCAGAAAACCAACAATATTTAACAAGAACCAGTACAGAGCGGTCCAAAGTCCTGGTCCTCTGGAAGGTCCTGACCTTTCCACAGAGCTGAAGTTCTGCTACAACTCACGGAAACTGGTTGTTTGTTTAAAAGGGTTTAATCAGAACCCAGAGGAACTGGGATGGTCCCAAAACGTCTCGTCTGGAGGAGAAACACATTGTTTTTCAGTCCTGTAAGTTCAGAACCTGGTGACTTCGAACCACAACACCCCCAAACACAAAAACCCACCCAAACATCCATCTCATGCCAGACCTGTCATCAGTATTTCATTAAAATACATCAAAGATGATGTCTGACAGCAAAACCAGTCAAGGTGGGAACAAACTACAATGTAAACAACAAAACTACGTGCACGGCCCAGAATACAGCTTTACAAGTTGTGCACGTAACGAGAGGCTGAGTTTGAGCCTGAAACAAAAGATTAACTTGTTTCTCCGAACACTGAGTTGAGTTTCATTTGTTTGTTTGTTTGTTTGTTTGTTTTGTTTGCGTAGGGCCCATTAGGCGGTTAGGGTTAGGGTTGTGCTGACGTTTTCCCTCCTTGGTGTTGTGTCAATAGACTCCTGCCTCAAACCGTTTCCTGTTGATGTTTGGACCCAGGATTCTGGTTTCATGAAGAACTTTTACTTCAGATGAGATGAAGGTTGTTTCCTGGTCGCTTTGTATTTTTCTTTAGTTTGAATAAAATTAAAAAACAGAATAGCTCAGCAGAATAAACACGGTTTCTGTCCACGAGATTAAGCATGACTCGGCAGAATAAACACGGTTTCTGTCCA